TCCTCAGTGTATTTGGGAATGTCCATGATTAAAGATTAATTTGGTTTTCAATTTGCTGTCCAAATCATCCTCATTATCTCGAGTGCACCATATTCAGCCTCGATGCTGGCTTGATCTGACCCAAACAACTTATGCGGAGGCTTGAAAAACCCAAGCATGTCCCCAGCTGCCATCTGCCACGTCCACATATGAGGTGAAAGAATGAAGTTACGGTCTAATTGTCCTACTAAGGCTCCACATAAAGGCAGTATAATTCAAGTGAATTTCTACTGCATTACATTGAGATATCCTAATTATGGGTTTTCCTTCCTATATGCCTCCCATTCTTATTACGGTCATTTCTACTAAAATACTAGTGGGTACAGTTCACAGTTTTATTGACGATCGAGCATGGATTGAGAATTTGAGGTCGCGAATACTTGTGGCCAAGATATACTACATGGCAGAGTATATATATATATATATGCAGAAATTGCTAGCTGCAGTATAATTCCAACTGACATCAAGCTGTCAATGCTTACCCCATTTTGCTGTTGTACGGTCGTGCAGCCGCCGATCACGTGTCATGTATTATAGCCCATTATGTTTGGAATCACTCCCCCACTCTACTAACAAAATGTAAAGTACAATACAACATATTCTCTACGTACATACGAATAAAGTAAACCTGCAAGGTTCGCATTGCTCTAGCCCAGTGCGACTCTGACAGCCCCTAAAGCTGTCTGAGGTCGCCCTTCTTCCTGAGGCAGCTACCGGCAAAGCTGGATGCCTAGAAGGACAGCGGCGGCGTGGCTCCTTCTTCTCCCGACAGTGAAGCCATGGTTGGGTTCCAAGGCAGTCTGGAGAATGGACGTCACGCCACCCAGATCCAGACCTCCATGACGGACTTCCCAAGTGCCATTAGACATAACTGAGGTCACCTCACTTAGATACTGCTTCCTTCCAATAGTCAGCATCAATAGATGAATATGTCTCTTGTATGGTTTGTAGTATCGTCCACAAGGTATACAATGTAGTCATCATCGAGTAGCAACAGTGTGATCCTCCTTAGGATTTTCTATGGACGTTTGAACATCGTGTTCTATCAGCACAAAAGACACGGGGAATAAAATAGATTCTTGACTAGAAGTGTTAGGTGTATTCATTTTCAAAAAATATAGTACCATATCTTTACTAAAAAATTTTTTACAAACATGCATGTCAGGTTCTCTTGAATTCGAAATTAAGAATCTATATACTATGATGTGAATAGCATAACCAAGAAACACACAATCCACGGGTTTTGGTCCAAATTTATGCTTTTTGACTATAGGCACATTGACCATAGCCAAACAACCCCATATAATCTTTGTTCTTATTAGGAATTTTATTCAGCACATGATACACAATCAATATAGTCTCACCCCACCATTCCTTAAAAAGTCCCGTAGTGTCAAACATGACATTCACTAATTCAGTTAGACTATGATTCTTTCTTTTAGCAACCCCATTAGATTGGCGTGAATAGGGAGGCATATCCTATCATGAATAATTCCAGACTTTTCACGGAATGAAGTAAGCTCATTTTAAAAATACACTCCACCTCAATCATACCTCAACCGTTTAATTTTACTTTCAAGTTGGTTTTCTACCCCAGCTTTATAGATTTTAAAGTAATTCAATGTTTCATCTTTTGTAAAATCTAGTGCAATAATCTCTTAATCTGACGAGAGGATGACTACAAACTCATAATGCTGAAGTAAAAGGCTATGATGCATAGTGTAGGATTTATTCAATTAACTAGCTAGCAGCCAAAAATAAGATTTTTGGCACATGTTTCCAGTGCCCACTCGTAGGCATTTTGAACCCAAACGACTAATAATACACAGGTTGGACAAAATTGATGCAGTCAGGAAGGCCCTATTTCTCCACGAAAAGCTAGGACTTGGATAGGAATTAATCTGCGTATGCACAAGGTACTCTTCTTTCGGATGGCCAAGACGACATGATCTTGGGAGATTACACATTGAAGCTACTGTGTCTAGATGAACCAATGTCCCTTTATTTGTTCTTCCTTACATTTGATCGGATTGGTAACTCTTGGATTTCTTTCCTATGTACGTACACACACGTCCCAGTCTTATGAGAGCCATTAATTTCTAAAATACAAGCGGGAACTGATTATTGTTGTACCGATGGTATTTGAGGATGAATTGAGATAATGAGGTGTTGAATATTTGAGAATCTCGAAGAAGTGCTTTGGCAGAGTATAGACTTCAAATTTTTGTACTCAAACATAGAAGCATATTGAAGCTGATCTCCTTGTGGTTTAAGTGGGCTTATCTAGTAGCCAGTCGCACGATGACTATATTGGAATCCTTGCATCTATATGTCAGATCCTATCTGTGTAGATTGTCCATATTGTTACTGACCTTGCCGGAGCTCGTCTGTGATATAGGCAACAACTTGCAGGTTCTGAAGATGTCGCTCGTTGCCGAACGATGAACAACAGCTTCAGCTTAATCAAGGCACGCCGGTGACGTTGTCTTCAAGGAGATTCACGCCCTCGCCGAGGTGCACGAGACAGACGGCGGCTTTCCTCCAAGATACAATGATCTCGTATCCTCACCCGTGCAATCGGCCAAGAACGAACCAATGGAATTTCGTGGGATGTAACTCTCTCTATGCAAAATAAGCAGAAGGATGTAGAGCAAAAGCTTCGTGTGGTAATATCAGCAGCAGTACGTGCCTTATATAGCCTTGAATAGCAACAAGAAAATCCTATCTCTAAGCCGGATAACAAACAATCAACAGATTGATTTTCGTCGGCCTGAATATCTGGAATGATAAAGACTTTATCTTCCACGTACAGCTCAAAACAACAATATCAAAACTTGAAACCAAAATCTGAACATAAGGCAAAAGTTCACATATGTCCATTTGAACTAAACTGAAGAATTGTTGGTACAAAATGAACAGAACCAAAGAGACAAAATCTGAACAAACATCAAACATCGTTTGTGACTTTCATTCAGTTATAATCAGAAGGAAAATCACCTGAATTCCAACAGACCTTAGGCATGCGCCGTGCAACACCACTGTTAAATCACTAACTGTTACGTACCGTAAAATGACATAGTTAGGCATATGCTAATTAATCTGCCTAACTGTAATTTAAATGGCTGGATAGAAAGCAGAGCTAAAGCTACAACAACTATAAGGAAGCCCAAAACCTTGCACCAAATCTGTACTCCAGACAGTACACCGACTGAAGTATGCATGTCAATCCTATCATGATATCCAAGCTATCAAAACAGAAGCAATAAACTTCCTATGATCGTCATGAATGAAAGAATCAGAATGAAATTTAAGAATATGGTGGCTAGCTCATACACAGCATGTTTAAATTGAAGATCGTAACCGATATCCTTTGTGCATTTGGTTGGTCCGATACATAAGAAGGATCTTACATATTGTCATTTGATTATTTTGGAGGAACAACGGATTCCTTCTTGTAGACTCATAGGTAAGCTGTAAAAAGCGCCATGATGTTCAATCAGATGACATCATAACGTAAAGAAAACAATATGATAGGTTAAAAATTATGATTGGATCATCCACAACAACCTCACAACACAAACCTTATGTGCTGCAAATCCCCCTGGTGTTGCTTGCGATAGCATGTTGTGGCCCAAGGATTTAAGTCAACCTAGTCGTGGTGAGCACGTGGTATTGTTTTCCTTCAAGAGTCCTCCTATTCCTATTGCAGTTCCTACCTTCATTTTAGAAGTGTGAATTCATTGTTTCTTGTCATGAGTGCATTGAAAAATTGGGATGGTGAGGGCTCGAACAATGTAGAAGTTGTGTCGGGGTATATATAAAGAATGGCAATGAATTGAACAAGATAGAATTCAATACCATATAACAATAATGATACTGGATTGGCACACCGGAAATTCACAACGGCCAGACTCGAAGTCTCTTTTAAGGCATGATGGGAAATATTTGTTTGTATTACTATGATTTAATAACAATGTTTGCTAGCCACTGAAGCATGGGTCATGATACAGCAGTTAATATAACAGCCATTTTATGTCAAAGTTTTGTCTTTGTCTATCTCTGATAAGCACTCAGCAGACGGGAGGGGGATACCGAGGTTGGAAGTAGGGCCTTGGCCTGAGGAATTGGACTAGATGGTTCTCTTAGGCCTTGTTCGGTTGGGCTGTTCCAGGCCGGGATCGGGGCCCAATCCCTGTGGATCACCCCGGCGAGGAAAAAATCCCGGCCCATGCGAAATTGTGCGTTCGGTTAAGCCCTGCCGTGAATTTTAGCCCGGCCCACCACGGGGTTTCCCTCTTCTCTAGGCCCGGGAAAAAATCATCTACTCCTGGGGTGTGGAAAATTTCCTCGAGAGGAGGCAGCGGCGTAACGAAGACGCGACGGAGGGGGCGGCGCGCGGCGCGACCCGGAGGCGACGGCGACGGCGACGGCGACGACATGGCTCTCTCCTCCGGCCGCCACCTTCTCTCCGGTGAGCACGCTGCCTTTCCCCTTCTTCCCTCCTCTTGCAAAGCTAGGGTTAGGGTTTTCTTCTCTTCTCCCTTTCCTGTCGTCCCCGCCATCTCTCTTCTCGCCGTGCAGCTTTCTGGTGAGTGAGCGCTTAGCGATTCATCGTCCTCCTCCTCGTATCCTGCTCGATCTGGTGAGTTCTTGATTTGGGCGTGGAGCTTTTTTTCTTGGTTGGGTGGGGATGCGTTCTTGATTTGCCGCCGCCACCGCACCGCCCAACTCTGGTTCTTGATTTGAGTTCTTGATTCACGGTGGCTTTGAGGCAGCAGATGGTGAGAGCGAGAGCTGTACGGTGGCTATGGAAACATGCTTGCCTTGATTAGTTTTGCTTAGTGTAACTGATGCTGTGATGCTTGCCTGAGCATGTCTTGTAAAATTGACTATACAAGTTTTTACAGTGAAGTACTCAGTTCTTGGTGCTTCCGGAGTCTCAACTTGTGGTTGTTGGTTATATTTCTGTTTGGAAATTACAAGGGTTGGGGTGTCCTGATTTTGAGGATTGTAGAGCTATGGAGGTACTCTGTAATTAGTTTAACATTTCTGAATTGTAAACTAATTCTATCGTCATTGTTTCACAAACAAACTAGCAACAAATTGCAGTAGTATATACAGTAATGTATACTTAAACTGATTTATTTTAAACTAACAACAGTAGCTTTTAGTCTCATTAGACTAACAGATTTGTTTTCCTCAACATGATACTTGTATAAAACATGTTTATCATAGCTATTCAAGCACTAATATGTCTAGTGTTAAATGAACTGATTGGGTGATTAATTCTGTACCCATGTTATAATGTATTTGATGATGAGATCCTTCTATTTGATTGAAAAACAGCAGCTCCTACTTTGATGCTAGCTAGCTCTAGTTCTGGGTTTTATGTAACTCTAGTTCTAGTTCTGAATTTGAGTTGTCAGTGATGTGTATAAGTTGTGCTTGTTTTGTAGATTGCACTTGCACCCATGAGAGTTGGAGAAGACCAACCTCCTCCTTCCTGGGACCTTGTACCCTCTCCTTCCTGGGACCTTGTACCCTCTCCAAGAGGTACTAGATCTATTTATTCCCTTTGCTTTAAGTTGTTTATCTATATTTTGTGATGTAAATATAAAAAATAAAAGAAGTGGTGTAATGTAGACCAAAATTTCTTTTCCTTTCAACATACGGTTAAATTTGTATAAAAAAGCATAGAGAATATACAAGTTCTCAGATTTTTCAGATTTCTGAATTCTGAACATGCTCGGTGCTAACTAATAAAAGATCATCTGTAACTAAATTTGACAACTAAATTTGGTAAGTGCTACTGCCATGTAATCTGCTTTTTCATACATCCTGTAAGTGCTACTGCCATCAATTATTGTTGCACTGTGCACTCTTTAAGAAAAAAAGATCCTTATTGTTCTTTTCATTTTTCCCATCAATTTTTAAATATGCTTCATAACTTGGATCTTCTTAAGATTAATTCCCATAGTTTAGTGATTCTTGTGTGATTATCTTTCTAGATCTTTTGTTGCTGTGCTAAGTGCAAAATTGTAAATAATTTGTGTGCTATCTATAGTACTACTATGGATATGAGAGCAAGAGACCACGCTAGAAAGAGGAGGGAAGAGGAGGACGATGATATGATGTTGTTTATTTTCCCTGCACTACATTTGTTGAGTTCTAGTGGAGCAAGGGAAAAGAAGCGACGCCATACATCAAAGATAACAGGCGAGGAGCGTGTTCGGGAGTTGCTTGAAGGGCATGTAAAAAATTGCCGGGTAGCATTCAGGATGGAGCCGGAAATATTTATATCTTTGGCCAATTACCTTAGAACTGAAAAGTTGGTCGATGATACTAGGATTAAAGTTAAAGAGAAGTTGGCGTTCTTCTTATACATGCTTAGTCACAATGCTTCATTTGAGGATTTGCAAGAGAAATTTGGGCACAGTGGGGATAGCTTTCATCATCACGTAAAGCATTTCTTCAACTCAGTTGTCCCTTCGCTCTCGAAGCGGTTTCTGAAGCCTCCAAATCCTAATGAAGTTCATTGGAAAATAGAAAAAGATCCTAGATTTTATCCCTATTTCAATATCCTTATTAATATGTTGTTTTACATTTTTAGAAAATCATATGTGGTTTTTTTTTTTGCTGCAGAATTGCCTTGGTGCAATTGACGGCACCCATATACCCATATCTATATCATCTGACAAAGCAGCTCCATTTAGAAATAGGAAAAATACTCTTAGCCAAAATGTGATGATAGCTTGTGATTTTGATCTGAAGATCACTTTCATGTCTACTGGGTGGGAGGGGTCGGCTACAGTACCCCCTGGAAAGTTCTATTTGGTTGATGGTGGATATGCCAACACCAATTCTTTCCTTGCACCATATCGTAAAGTCAGGTATCATCTAAAGGAGTATGGGGCAGGTCGGCGTAGACCTCAAAACTACAAAGAGTTATTTAACCATCGCCATGCGGTATTGAGGAATCATGTTGAATGGACTTTGGGGGTTGTAAAGAAGCGCTTCCCTATCCTCAAAGTTGCAACTTTCCACAAAATCAAGAACCAAGTGAAGATACCAGTGGCTGCTGCAGTGTTCCATAATATTATTTGATCACTGAATGGGGATGAGCAATGGTTAAATAACCAACCACATAATATCCATCCAAGCAATTATGTTGACCTGCCAGATGGTGATGAAGGCAATGATCAAAGCACTAATCAAGGGAATCTTTTGAGGGACACGATAGCACATCAAATTTGGAATGACTATCGACAGCATAGGAATTAGTGGGTTGTAATAAGTAGTATATTTGATTTTCTTTTGATGTTTTGTGAGCTGTAATAACTACGACATATTACAAATATTATGTTATAAATGAACTATGGTGGTTGCATGTGACATACATTTGCTACAATGCTTTTGTTATGAATATTGTGTTATGCATCCTTTCTCAGTTAATATGCTTCTAAGAGGTTCTCCAAGGTTGACCATGCTTTTAGCGAAAGCTGCACAAAAGAAGAACTCTCCGAAAGGTCATCCTACAAAAAAGCATGGAGGTTCTCCGATAGGTATGCAATTATAGAACATGTGAAATTCATGTTTGAAATTATTAAATGTAGATTATACATCAATTCTTATCTTGCGTAGAAAAAAGAAGAGCCTCTTGGAACACAGCCCTAGAGAAGATTCTTGTTGAGTTATTGCATGAGCACAACACTCCTGAGTATAGGGGTCAGAATGGATGGACTTCAGAAGCTTGGAACAAAATCGTGAAGGAATTCCATGAGAAGGACAGATATGTCTGCTTAACAAAGTCCCAAATCCAAGAAAAGGAGAAAGAGCTAAAAAGAGAATATAGGATGCTGAAAGAGGCTAGAAAACAAAGTGGAGCTTCATGGAATAACCAGAGATGCATCATTGAGGCTGAGCCTGCTATATAGAACAATATAATCATCGTAAGATTATTTCTGACCATTACTTAATTTTGTAGTTAATTACATTATGCATCTTTTTAGTGTTTTCCTTTTATTGTGTTGTCATTTCCTAAAGCCAAGAAGTTTCGCACCAAATCTTTCCCTCTATTTGAGGCCTTGGGAGAACTTTACGATGGTTAGTTCTATCACAAGCTATAATCCTTGTTTTCAATATCACAAGTTATAATCATGCTTTCTTGCTTACCCTTTCTAGTACTCAATTTTCTTGTGTAGGACATACTGCAGAAGGAACCTGTCACGCCCGGAATTTCTATCCAAAATTCCAAACGCTTACATGTGTGTGAACCCTCGTCCAGGAATCAGCCGAGGGACACAATAACAAATTGATAATAGAGTACAATTATTACTCTAATTAATAAGCGAATAAAATGTCATTACAGAGGTAGATAGTTCGTCTCAATCAATAAAGATCTAAGCAGCGGAAAAATAAGATAAACGGCACAGACGACTCCACTCCACAGGCAGCTTGACCAGGGCTACACCTAATCCTCCACACCATCAGCATCACTGTAGAACTCTTCCTCTGATGAATGATTGCAAGGTGAGTATATAACATACTCAGCAAGCCACGCAACAAATATGGAAGTGCACAAGGATACCAAAGAATGGCATAATATAGGGCTCATTTGCAAAAGCAGCATTTAGCAAATATTTGAGAATTATAAAACAGTAGAGTAATTAATCATCAATTTTAATCAACACTAAACAGCACACCCATGCTGCTCAGGCCCAACCATCCTGAACAACCATACCCGGCTGTACAGATCTATCTCCAAACCAGGAATATACCATTCCAAACCAGGAGCTAAACAAATTATTACCAGTTATAGCATCTTTTATTATGGTGAGAAGTGTGAGACTAATCACGAAAGACATTGTTAGACCCGCCCATAACCGCGGGCACGGCTATTCGAATAGTTTTACTCTGGCCAGAGGTGTACCACTGTACCCACAAGACACAGCACCACAACATGTCACCATGTGCCTCAATACCACCACGGTACCTCGGAAAGGAGCTGTGACAGTAACCCTCGTACAACACAATCCACCACAGCGCACCTTTCCTGGATCATAATCACCCCCTTATAAACAAGGCATGGACTCCCCAGCGACCCCCGTGGGCTTATCTCCACCACTTCTCAGTCTGGTGCTCCGCAATGAACCATGCTATACAAAAGGTAAAGTCGTTGCCCACGCTGGCTTGTGGTTGGCACGGTTAATGTTTCACAACCGAAACTCGTGAACCGGTCCTTAATTGTCATGAGCACGGCTCTCAAAACCATGTGCTCACAACCCACCATTATCAAGTTTTAGTTGGCAAGTAATTAATTAACCAATCACGATTGACCATCGTGAACTATCATTAAGCCATCATTAAATAATAGTGAGTCATAAGTTATCCCAATAGTGTGCTAATGTTTCTAAGCATGGCTAAGCAATCATATCTAATATCTAGCTGAACTAATATATATAGCCCAACTAGTCAAGTTATAATAACCCAAGGTATCAAGGAATAAAGTAATCAAGAACAAAAGGGCTATAACAAACAATAGGTTAATTCCACCCAATGACATTCGAAAATAAATGCAATAGTTGAATAGAAACAATAGCTTTAAACGGGATCAACATGCTCAAAGGATTGTTTGGGATCTGTGTGACTTGCCTTGCTGGCCTTGGAACTCTTCAAAATCTTCTCCTGCAAACTCAGACTCTCCGAAAACGTCGGAACCTAAACAGAAAAGAGCAAAATCACCAAAACAGCACACAAACCAGCATGAACAGTACATGTAGATATTTTTAACATGTAGATCTCTATTTTAGAAAAATTTAGAGACTTGAACCAACTAAATCCGAGCTAAGATGAATTAGTTATGTGTTTTCAAAGATTAAATCGGATTAAATCATTCATTTAGATTTTAATTGAATTATGACGCAATAATGAATTATTTTTGAAAAAGAAAAGGGAATTATTGCGTCAGCGGCTAGGGTTCGCGGTGGACCGGGTGCACGGCGGCGGCTCACGGAAATGAACGGCCGAGATCGATCCTATCCAAAACGGACGGCCAAGATCCATCGGTCCACGACCGGGCCACGGGGAACGACGACGATGACGTCGGCGGTGACGTCACCACCGGCGGCGGCTCGGGCGTGCATGCTTGCCGGCGAATGACGGCATGACAGCGCGAACGGAGGGCACCTATGGGTAGCGGACGACACGGCGAACTCACCGGTGACCAAAGTAGCGGCGGAGGGGCAACGGACGGCGCCGGCGATGAGGAAAAGGGGGCAGAGACGATCGGGTCGACGGCGGCGACGGTGCTCCGGCGGTTGACAACGACGGCGAAGGGACGGACGACGACGGCGATGAGACGGCGACCACGACGATGACCTCCCCGAGTGACGGCGATGACTGGAGCGACGATGGCGCACGGCTAGAGCGGCGGCGACGACGGCGACGCGAGGCTACACGGTGCTAGGGTTCTACCGGCGGCGAGAGACGAAGGCGAGGGTGGCGACGGGTAGCGGAGGACCTGGGGGTGCTTATATAGGGACTAGGGCGCGGCGGCGAAGGCCCACGGCGACCGGCGACGCGATGGAAAGATTAGGGTTCGGGAGAGAGAGACGAATCCGATTCGAGATCGAATCCGCGAATTTCCAAAGCGATTTAAACGATGTTTCCAAAAGGGAAAAGGTAGAGTGGATCACGGGGATCCTTTCCCCTCAATTGATTTCACCGGAAACGGAAAGGGACGGCCGGATTTGGAAGGAGATGGCGGCGGCGCGCCGCTAGGGCTCGGGCGATGGTGCAAGGAGGACGACGACGACCTGACAGGCGGGCCCCACCTGTCAGCGTCCGAGGGCGCTCGCACGCGGCTGCTGCGGGCGGACTGGGCCGGCTTGGGCCGAGGAGAGGGAGAGAGAAGGTTTTGGGCCGACTTTCGACCCAAAGGCAAAAGAGAACTTTTAAAACCTTTTCCAATTTAAATTATTCATGAAATGAAATTCCATTTATTAAAAATACTTCCTTAGCTCAAATAAATCCCAGAAAAATCTAGGAATTATAGAATTAAGCAAAGTATTTAATGAAATTTTATCTGGCCCCATTTTATATTGGAATTTATTAATTAAAACTAGATCTTCTCTTCTAGGCTTTTAAAATAAATTCTAATAATTCCAATTAAACAACAATTTATATATTTAGGATTTTTAGGGTGTGACAGAACCTACAATTTCACCTCAATTGAGCCATTGCAACATTCAATCATTACTCAAGTTGAGAGTGATCAAGATGATCTTGGTAACACTGAGATTATATTTCCAGATTATGAGGACACCTTGGCTTATCAAGTACAAGATGATGCAGATGCAACTGAAGATGATAATGCAAATGCGGAAAGGCTTAAAGAGATGCCGCATAGAAGGGTTGTTGTTGTACCAAGAAACAAAGAAGAAAAAGAACCCAAGAGGCAAAATAAGAGTGTTGGCGTAGAAGGACTTATGGAAAGGTACCTTGATATGAGGACCAAACAAACTGAAGATGAGGCTGCACAATTAGCAAGAGAAAAGGAGGCTCAGTTAGCAAGAGAAAAGGAGGCTCATTTAGCAAGAGAAAAGGAAAGTAATGATTTTTCAATCAAGAGGTGCATATCTGTTCTGAATTCGATGGATGTGACAAAGGCAGAAAAGGTCAAAGCATATACCGTCTTCAAGAATGCAGAGAACAGAGAGATTTTTGTGAGTGCTTGTGATGAGGATCCAGAATCTGCCTTGAGTTGGTTAAGAAGTGAGATGGCTTGAAAGGTACCGCTTTTCTTCTATATAAATCTTTTTTGGTCTGCTAGGCAAGTAAGATGGGCTTCACTCTGTCCTGTGTGACTCTCTGTTGTTAGTTACATGCATGTTGTTTAGGGCTGTAAACCAAGATTTACATTATGGGCTACTCACCTTTCTTTTATTTTCTTGAGCTGATAAGCTCACTCAAGTCTGAACTGATACTACTCTTAGCATCTGAAAAAGCTAAACTTAAGCAGTATAGCGGTGCAATTTTACTTACTTTGAAGCATCTGCTTTGCTCCTGATAAAAGAATGTTTTTTAAGGTACCGTGTGGCTCTAGTTATGTACTTCATTATTCTGGATTTTTCACATTTTGGTCCTTTTAAAAAACTTATTTCGCAAATAGACCCCTAGAAAAACTTATCCCAGAAATGGTCCTTTTTGGGACGCCAGAGTGGCTGGCGCCGTCATCCAACGGGACGGCGCCAGCCTCTCTGGCGCTGTCCTCCTGCCACCGTGGCACACGCAAACCGACGTGGCAAGAGGAGGGCGCCAAAATGGTTGGCGCCGCCCTAGGGAGGAGGGCGCCAGCCATGCTGGCGCCGCCCCCCTCCCCCTCCCCCACCA